GTTCCCACATCGGCCGTGTCCGACCTCAGCATCTCGCTGTAGATGCCTGCCACGACCCAGCCAAACTCAGCACCAGTCGCGGTCTTCTGGGCAATCGCCAAGAGCTTGCTGGTATGCTCGAAGGTGTTCATCTTGCCAAATGCTGCCCTTGGCACGGACGATAGGTTTAAGGCAGGGCCTTACAATTTGGAAGCCAGACTTAAGGGTTGAATCTTTGGGGTTGAGCCAAGTCAGCCAGTGTACAAGGCCTCCTCCATGATCCACCTGGCTTGAGGGGCTTTCTCAGTCATGTTGGCGATCGTGATCAAGTTGTTGATGGTCTCCGGCTGAGGTGATCTGCGACTCAAATGCCAATGCACGTTTTTGTTGAGGAAGGCACAGATGTCGGTAGCCTCCCTCTGTGTCTTGGGCAACGTCCGTTGCACCTGACGGACGAGCTTGAGAAGTCGCAGGGTGTTGTTGCCGAAGTATTCGGCCAGCAACTCGAAAGTCTCGCCCACAGAAGCCTCGGCACAGAGCAGTGCAGTTGCACTGCTGTCGCTGAAGTACTTGAAGTCGCAGACAGCGGAACGGGCGAGCTTCATGAACTTCGGCACCAAGTCCGGTGTGTGCAGCTTCGCCTTAGCGAAGCTTCTCCAGAAGGCTGCCAGACACAAGTGCAAAGCGAAGGGCTGCCAGGTGTGCTTCGGAGCCATGTCCGTCTTGGAGAAGCATGCCACCGGCACATTCAGGTGCAACGGCCAGGTCTCCGGAACCTTGCTGAAGACCTCCTCCCCAAACCTTAGCAACGAAGCACAAGTGTGACCAACTCCAACTCCAAGCACAATGAGAGAACTCTTTCAGAAGGCCGAGGAACTTGTCCACTTGGGCCATGGTCAAATCGTCTGGCACCTTGAAGTCTAGCCATGTCAAGTTGATGTGATAGCCGCGGGCTTCGTCGGATTTTTGAAGGCGGTCCAGGACACTGTCCTTACTTCTACGGCATCACTCTGAAACTATAGGTCAGCCTTTGGGACAGGGTTCGGGTTGCGAGAAGCCGGCACCACTAAAAAAGGTTGCCTATTGGACTGGGAAGTGTCAGAGCGAAAGACGGACCCGGTGGATGCAGGCAGTGCTCCCTCCGCCTTCAAAGCATCGTAGTCTGTCCGCAGCACATCCCAGACCTCCACGGTCCAGACATCCTTTGCCAAAACCGGAGCCATGCTCGGCAAGGGAACCAGAGAGAAAGTGTCACAGGAGATTCCGAATTCGACCCCCCAATTTCGGAGACGCTATTTCTGGAAAAGCAGGCTTCTGATCTGTGCACTTTGCAAAATCTGCACCTTGATCCTCGAGTACNNGTCAGGAAACTGAACGACAGCAGCAGCAGTCGGCGACAGCAGAGCTGACCCCATCCCCCGGCTGATATGCAAGCATGGAATCCCACTAAGCTTGCTGGAGACTATGTATGAACGGCCCTAGCGCCTCGTCCAAGAAGTCGGCCTTGGCACCAGAGACGAACATCCTGGCAAGGCATGGGACGTGGCAGCACCCAGATGATGTAGGCTTGCACTATGCTGCTGGGGTTTGAAGGGTCAAGTAAGACTGAAATGGAATCTCTCATGAAGCTCGCACCCTGCAAGGCCGACCCTTGTTGGAAAGTGGACCTGCTGCTGCCCAGGCAACCAGGGCAGCACAGCGCCGTGCAACAGCACCTGCAAGGCAAAGTCAAAACGCCCAGCACTCAAGAAGACGGACACAGTTTTGCAGCAACATCTCTGGCACTGCAAGTATGCGGGCACAGGCTGCACACCCCTTCGCACAATCGTTATCTTTTTCACTGCACATCGAAAGCATGACGAGCGGAAGACGAGCGAGGTGCCCTCTGGATGATCACGAAGTCCACGGCGAATCGGAAGAATGACGAGCGAAGACGAGCCAGGATCACGAAGTCCACTTCTTGTTTGTGGAGTCCTCAGTGCAGCAAGGGGTTTAGGGTTTAGGGTTTAGGGTTTAAAGTTTAGGGCCCGCCCGACACCGAATGCACCAGTGCAGCCGTGGCTCCCACCATTTCAGGACTCTCTCCTGTATGACCTCCATCTTCTCACGCATGTTGGAGGTCACCGTCTTCTCCGGATGGTCCCATCTCTTCCTTGTGTGGGTTTAGGGTTTACACCCTCGCAACTCGGAACTGAGCCAGACGAGGTCTCTCGGGTTTAGGGTTTTGGGTTTAGGGTTTAGGGATGATAAGGTCAAGGGCCCGTTCCCTGAAACATGAACCCGAAACCTTTCAAGTGTCGACTTCTCGTGGCCAGGCTGACGGCTCTCGGCCATGCCCTGCCGCACCATCTTCGGAACGAAGCTCTTGCCGCAGCTGCGGCCATCGCTGCTATGTTCCAGAAGGGCCAGCCAGTCCACGTAGCATTCCACGTCACACTTGTTCTTCAGCAGGACCCAGTGGACTTCGGGATGATCACGTTTCATCTTCGCCACTACCTCAGTTTTCTCAATCTGCCACTCCCAGCATGTGTCAGCAAAGGAACAGCAATGGGCAAAGGAAAAGCACTGGGAACCAATGTTGCCGAGCAGCAGCCCTCTCGGCCTCCTGGAGCTCCTGCCGATACCTGGGAGTTATTCAGACAAGCCGAACGAACTGGTTTTCCCACTATCTTGCGAGTGCAGCTTGCAGGAGAACTAAATGCAATTTGGATGCAGTCTCTCGGCGGCTGCACCCCCCAGCATAAGCCGGGTCTCCGTCCAGGCCAGTCCTGAATGAGCACCAAATCCAATTTAGATGCAATCTCTCGGCGGCTGAGAAGAATGAGAGTGGTCCTGCAGGGATCGGACGTGGAGCTGCATCAGCTGAACTCGCTGGGGCTTTCGGTGCTGCAGCTGACGGGCCAGGACTCGGTGCTGCAGCTGACGGGCCAGGACTCGGTGCTGCAGCAGCGGGCGATGGACTTGGACGAGCTGCAGCAGCTGACTCACTGGACGGACATGGAGCAGTCCTGAACAGGGGTGCAGAGGTGTCGTCATCGTCATGTTCCTCTCTCAAAATCGCCTCTGCTGGCCGTGCACTGTCGTCCTCTGGGCATCGCGAGGTGTCTCTTCGCCAGTGCCAGAATCCTCACCATCAGCTGCTGCCACCATTGCACGGAGCTGAGGCGGGGCCGCCTTCACCGGCGGCTGAGACATCCTAGATGTTTGCTGTTGGCCACATGTCTTGGCCGACGTGCTGGATTGTCGGCTTCAGGCGAGATCTAGACCGACTTTTAGCCGTGGGTTGCCACGGTTGTTCGGGAGCTAGATTGTCATTCCTAACCGTCCTAGCCATTCAAGAATCTTGGGCCCAAGGCACTGCAGGAATGACGTGCCACAGTCACAAGCAAAGCACTAGCAAGAGACGAGCCCTGGCACCTTGCCAGCTCAGCAGCCAGCAGCACCCGCAGCAGCCGAAGGACGGACCTTCGGATTTCTTGAAAAGTTGGGTCTGGCATGCTTGCACAACAAGAGATGCTAGACACTCTGCAAGCATGCACTTCAAGTGCGCTGAAGACGCCGAAATCCGAACCCCTGAACCCTCTGAGCCCTGGCACCGTGCCGGCTCGGCAGCCAGCAGCACCCGCAGCAGGCGA